CCCCGAAGAAATGAAAAACAACCCTGACTTAGAGAAAGACTATATATTTAATAATTTAGTCAAAAGAGACAAACAAGAAAGAATGCCGGGCTTCAAACTTCAGAAAGGTGACAAAGTAAAAATAGAAATACCTAAACGCGACCCATATGAAAATACTATTGACTATGACAACAATGGGAACCCGACAGGTACTCACATTCGTGTTCGTAAAAATAGAAGAAAGTATACAAGAGAATATTATGAAGTTTTAGGCAAACATGGCAAAATGTACACACTGCAAGCAGAAGATAAAACTACTATTGTCAGACCTCGTTTCAAACTTGTCAAAGTTCAAGGTGGTATACTTTCAAAGACAGTTCCTAACAAATATAAGACAACTCCTGACGAATATGCTAAAGAAGTTGAAAATGACGACTAAGCAATTCTATACCATGCGTAAACTGTCATGTAAGGTGGCATGTATTCTTTACTTTGTCCCGTTGTTTGCGTATATCCTGAAACGAAATGTGTATGGTTTCCTTCTCCCTGCGTGTCATCCCAGTAACAATTTATAGCAAACTTAACGTCGTCTTTAACATCATATCCTTTACCTTTTGTCATTCCTGACCAATCCCAATATCTATGCTTATGCCAACCTGCTTGAGATGTACTTAAATCTATGTAGTGACTGTGTGCAGGTAAATTTTCACCTGAAATCGTTTTACTTCCACCTGTTTCCTTTGAAGAGTTTGCACAATACAAAAACCTGTCGACTATTTGTTCCCATGCACCAACACCAAACATTACTTGAGGACCTCTTGCTTCCATAGATGTATAAATAGAACCTACTGGGTTCATTAAATCAAACATATGAGATATTATAGGATTGTCTCTTTTGAACTTAAAATATAGTGCAACTATTTCAGGTTTCTTCTGGTTTGTGTCAGAATATTTTTTATAATATAATCTTATGTTTTCAGGGTAGGTAAAATCTTGACTATAATATTTATTTCTGTCATCTGTATAATAATATACTATTCTCGTTTTTTCTATTGCATTATATCTTTTATATCTATAATAATCTAAATATAATGTTAGCTTTTGTTCATCTACATGTGGTGTTCTGTCGTCATCTCCATAGTCATAATAATGTGGTGCTGGAGCTGGGTCAGGCAATGTCATATCTGCCATTTCATAAACTCTTAAATATTTCTTTTGTTCGTCTCCATATAAGTTTAAGTAGCAGTTGTTGTCTAATGGAACTTTAACTTGTGTACCATCATTTTTTTATAGCTTACATACATTTCATTGTTATTTTTCGGAATGAGTTTACACCGTGTACCATTTTTTAAGGACTGTACAAACTGCCATCTAAAATATTTATTTTCTTCATTGACAGAAAAGTCACCAACAATAGTTTCAATATTTTTTGTTGTTCCTATCAAACTTTGGTATATTTCATTGACATATGTTTTATCTGCTTTCTTTTCAAGGCTAACGTTTAAGTCTGTTATTTCAGATATAGAATGTGTATGTCCAACGTCACTTTTCCTGTTTAAGGTTTCTTGTAAGTTTGTAATATTTGCAATGGTATGTGTATGTCCAACGTCACTTTTCCTGTTTAAGGTTTCTTGTAAGTTTGTAATATTTGCAATGGTATGTGTATGAGTCTTATCTGCTTTTGTCTCTAATGTTTCCTTAAGACTTGGTATTTGGTTAATATAATGTATATGAGTCTTTTTAGAATATTCGTTTTCAGCTCTTGTCACTTCACTTGACATTTTATTGTCAACATATGTTTTGTCTGCTAGTTCAGGATGAGTATGTTCTTTTGTTGCATAAGCATTGTTAGCTCTTTCTTCTTCTTTTGCTATTGCATCGTCTACATATTCTTTGTCAGCTTTGTTGTCAACATCTGCTTTCAAAAGAAGTTCATTTATAGGTTTCTCGTTTAAAGTTCCTTTTGTTGGATTTATACAGACAGTATTGTTCTTATTGTCTTGAAATAGAAACTCATCTGTTATAGGGTTTATTGTCAGTTTTAAGTCACCCCCTTTCAATGACTCAGATATCTTAGAATAGTTTGAAAAGTTTGTTGTGTTCTTATTTAGAGCTTGCATAATGAGTTGTCGGTTGTGTTGTATTTCTCTCATAGACGCTGTTTCATTTGACATTTTTATTATAGATAAAATATGCTTCCAATAGAAAAAGAAAATTCAAGAGTTGCTACAACTAAACCATTAGATGAACTTTTTACTAATGTAGGTCAAAAGTTTGAGACAGAGACCGTAAAGCATGAAGGCTATCGTTTTGACTACCCATTAAGATGGTTAAGAGACCCATCTGTCACAAAAGCTATTGGCTTTCGTAGAATGAAGTTCATTTCAGAAGCCATACATGGTTTCCCATTTACGGTCGGTTTTGAAGTTCGATACTATAACAAAGAAAAACGTATGTATGAGAAATTTGAACAGGGAAAACTTTTACAAGTTAATTTGCTTATAAACTTAGAAACAACTCTTCAAGCTTTTCAAGAAAAAATAAATGATATCTATATTGAATATGCAAACCAGTTTAACATTGACGAAGGAGAATACCATCTCGATATTATTTATGACAGGAAAAACGCAACTGTTAAAATCAATAAAATAGAAGACCTTGAAGAAAACGTTTATATTTCTACAAAATATAACAACTTGGCATGGTATAGATTTATGAGGATGTTAAATCAGCCTGCAGCATATCCAGTACACCCGGACTATTATGAAGTCGAAAACCCTAATGGAACATATGAAAATGTTTTCGACCCAGATGCTATTATTGTTCATGCTTCATTTTCTGGCGCCCAAAACTCTTTCTTATGCTTGGCAAATGACTTTTACGAAAAACCTACAAAGTTATACGAACCACCAAGTGGAAGTATTTCAGACTTTCAAGTATGGTTACTACAGATGGAAGAAAAAGAATAATTCCATTATACCATGCGTTTTACTTAGAACTTAGTTTCATATACAACTACTATCGAACGGTAAAAATATAATTTTTTAATACGGTTGAGGTGTTGGATTTGGTTGCCAACTAGACTGTGGTGCAGGTTCAGGCTGTTGTATAACAGGAGCTTGTTCTTCTGGTTCAGGGTCTTTAGGTATAATACCAACAAACTGACCTACTCTTTTACCAATATTTTTGACACCGTTCCATACTCCTCTTCCGACAGATTTTATTCCATTCCATATACCTCTTCCAACATTTCGAAAGAAGTTTCCTATCTTACTGAAGAAACCCATTTTACTATATGTAAAATCTAATGTCCGCCTAGTCTCTTACGTTTCCTGTTGAGTTCCATAGCATTCTTTAACTGGAGCTCATACATTCTGTTTCTCCTCTGGTAGAAAACATATTCTGGGTCAACTCCTGTGTTCGCGTCATCTGCATAAAGTTGTTTATATCCCACTTCAGGGTTTGTATAAAACTCTTTCCATCTCATATTTGCATACCATGGTGGCAAACCTAACGCAGCGTCATTTGACATGGCAGTTTGCATTTGTACATCTGTTGGCACTTGACCATAGTTTGCCATTGCAGTTTGTATTCTAACTTCATTTGGAATATTCTCTGGGTTTGGTTGTCCAGGTTGCTGTGCATTCGCTAAGTTCTGTGCGTCCATTTAATATTAGATAAAAATATCTCTTACGAGTACATATACTGAACATTTACAGGCATTGGTTCATCTTCATATTCTCTGTACTTTTCTGCCACGTCAAATAAATAAATGACACAATGGAAAAAACCTAAAACAAGTAGTCCTATTTCAAACCACATTTACTTACTAATAAAATTTCTTTATTGTGACACTTTCTCCAGTTTATGGGACCTCTCTCATATTCTATCTTGTCATATCTAAACTCATAGTCGTTTATATCTTCTAGCCATTTCATGACACTTTCCAAACCACTTTTATCGGATGTAAAGTAAAAGCATGGATGGTTATGTATAACGTCTAAAGTTTCTAAAGAGTCTCTCAAAGTCCAGTCTACTTGGTATTGAAAATCCCATGTGTTATAGAACGGCGGGTCCACTATAAAGAAAACATTTTCCTTGTCTTTATATTTTTCATACAACTATGTCCAACGACATCTCACAAACTCTATACCCTCAATATATTTTTCTATGTCCTCTTTGAAAACATTTGTATAGTTAAGATATAAAACTTTTGACATAAGTGTTTCAATGTCATGAACTCTTATAGAACCACTATATAATAGTCTAGCAGATATACTATCCCAGTCTATATATTCTGCTTTTTTCAAAACCTCTCTCACAATATTTTTCTTATCTAATGGTATACGTTCCATCTTACCTATAGGTATCTTTTCTTTTAACTCTTTCAATATATTGTTTGTGTCTGGAATATGTTTGAGACGGTCCATATAGTTGTCGAAGTCATTGCATATAATCTTTGAGTCTGGGAATATTGTATGACATAAATGGGATATATAGAAACTTCCACCGAACAAATCTACAAATGTTAGACCATTCGGTAGTTTCTTAAGTTCTCTCAATATAATATCTTTACATCTACTCTTATTTCCAAAGAACGGTAACGGTGGTTTTGTAAAATTCATTTATATATAATAATAAAAATGTTTTTACCCGAAAAGTGACAGAAAAGTGACAAAACATGAAAACATATATAATTTGTGAAAAGCGACACATTATATAATGTTTTCGACCCAGAAGAAGGCTTCTTCCCAGAAGCAATGGAGGAGGAAATACAAGACTCTATCCAAGAAGAGTCCTCCGAATTCACACCAGAAGACTAACAATTTTCCGAATAAAAACTTCATTTATACTAAACATCTTCGGGGCTAGAGGGCGCAACGCGCCTGGAAGCCCCACTCACCTGACCTAAAACGCTTATTTTTCCGAATAAATTTCAATATCAGAATAAATTAATTAAAAATTAATAAAAATTAAAACAACTATTTAAGTAATGCATTGAAGGATATAGATTATTTTGCTTACATTATGATATTTATAGAATAATCTTGATAAGTCTTTCCAAAATGATCTCTTTCATATGGATTAGCTCCAATTGAGATAAGATAATTAACAGTTCCATGATGGCCTTTAGATGATGCATAAATGAGCGGTGTTTTGCCATTAAGATCTTTTTCGTCTTTGTTGGATCCAATTGAAATAAGATATTTCACAACATCAACTTTTCCGTTTTCTGATGCATAAATGAGTGATGTCTTGCCTTCATTGTCTTTAACTTCTTTCTCTAAACCAATAGAAATAAGATATTTAACCATTTCAAGTTGTCCGTTCATTGATGCTAACATAAGAGCAGTATGTCCAAAATAACTCTTTGCATTAATGTTTGCGCCAATTGATATAAGATATTTAACAACATGAAGATGAACTCCAGACGATGACCACATAACAGATGTTAATCCATTGTTATCTTTCTCTTCTTTATCAACTCCAATTGATATTAGATATTCAACAACTTGAAGATGGCCTCCGGTTGATGATAAGATAAGAATCGTTTTACCATCACAATCTTTAACATTCTTATTTGCACCAATCGAGATGAGATATTTAACAATGTCAAAATGACTATTCCATGCTGCACAAATGAGTGGTGTATATCCATTATTATTCTCAACTTCGATGTTTGCTCCTACAGAGACAAGATATTTGACGATTTCAATCTGCCCGTTCCATGCTGCATCAATAAGAGGGATATGACCAATGTCACTCTTTGCATCTTTATTAGCACCAACTGAGATAAGATATTTTATAACTTCGAATTTGTTATTCATTGTCGCACAAATGAGAGCTGTGCTTCCATCATTGCTTTTAGCTTCTAGTTTTGCACCAGCAGAAATAAGATACTTTACTACTTCGAGTTTTCCATTTTCCGATGCAAAAATAAGTGCAGTTTTTCCATTTCTATCCATCGCTTCTATATTACAGCCAATCGAAATAAGATATTTAACCAAATCAAGATAACCACGTTTAGAAGAAATTTGTAGTGGTGTTTTGAAACTATCAAATTCCATAACACATTGTTCTTCTTTATCTGCCCCAATAGATATAAGATATTTAGCAACTTCTAAATGACCATTAAGCATCGCTACCCCGAGTGGAGATTTAGCACAATCTTTTGAATCTTTGTTTGCTCCATGTGAGATTAGATATTGAACGATTTCAAGATGGTCGCGTCTTGATGCAGAGAATAGGGCACTTGTTTTATTTTCATCAATAGCATTAATATAGGGTGTCCAAAGGTGTGTTTAGCACAACCCTGAATATTGCGAATAGAAATAAACAAGTTACATATATATAAAGTTTATTTAAATATAATCACCATTGGATTCAATCACGCGTTCGCAGCGATCGATCCAGGCTTGAAAGACACGCTTTAAATCATCATGAGAAAATTGCTCAAATTGCTCTCTTACAAAATTTTCAAGATCATCTGGACTCGCGAATTCGCGTCCTTCAGCTCTCTTTTTTAGCGTGCCGAATAAATAAAAGTCAGAGGGTGCAATATCAGGTGAATAAATTGGGTTTGGAACAACTTTGACATTGTTTTCCACCAAGTAATTCATTACCTTATGACTTTTGTGAACTCTTGAATTATCAAAATGAATTGCAAACTTTTGTTTTTGTTGTTTGGATTTCTCAAACTCATCAGAATTGATAATTTGAGTAAGAACATTGTCAATTAGATACTGAGCATTCATCGTATTAGGTTTTTGAAGAATATCAATTGCGATGATGCCATTCACGCCCCAAAAACCGACAACATCATCATTGGTGTGTCAATTTTTTTCTTCGGAATGTTTGCGGATTTTCATCCTTCGGGATCCACATGATTTTGGCTTCTGTTGCATATTGAAACCAAGACTCGTCCCCTGTTACTAAAAAGCGAAACTTCTTGGATTGATACGCACCCAATATAGAGAGGAGCTCTTTCGAAGATTGGACTCTAGATTTTTTTTGAACTGAATTAAGATTGTGCGGAACCCAACGTGTATACGCTAGTTTGTAGTTCAAATAATTGTGCAGATAATAACTGACTGTTGTACGTGGTATCTTTGTCATCTCCTCTATCCTTCTGAGTGATGCTTCTGGGTCTTCATCTAGCGCTTGAAGAATTGCTTTGATTTTTCTTTGATCCGGCGATTTTTTGTCAATTTTTATGATGGGCGCCTTTTTGTTCATGAAGTGATACATCCTAACATGATACGTTACAGTGGAATAGCTAGGAGCATCCATACCGAAGCATTTTACCAATGTCTCGTAGATTTTTTTACAGTCTTTGCATTTTTTTGCAAGAGCGAGGATGTTTTCTTTATGATTCATTAAAAAAAATGAAAAAAATCCCGCCAAAATTTCCCGCAAAACCGCCTCTTGTCTCAAAATTCATTTTATATCCCGGCATGGCGCCAAAATACAACATACTCATCATATACATATATTCATATTTTTTATTATATATTTATAATCAGCATATATCTCCTTTAATAGTCTCATATAGAGCGCTGTGCTAAACGCACCTTTGGACACCCTATATCTGAACCAATAGATATCAAATATTTAACGATCTCAAAATGTCCGTGTTCTGATGCTAGAATAAGTAGAGTTTTTTGATCTCTCCTATCTCTCGTTTCTTTATTTGCTCCTGCAGTAATTAAACACTTTACTACTTCAAGATGACCTTGTATTAATGCATAAATAAGGGGTGTGCCTTGGCTTTTATCTTTTGCTTCAACATTTGCCCCAACGGAAATAAGATATCTTACTACTTCAGGACGATTGTTCATTGATGCTACCATCAATGGTGTGAAATTATTTGAATATATTGCTTCTTTATCAGCTCCAACAGAAATAAGGTATCTCACAATTTCAAGATATCCTTTTTTAGAAGCAACAATTAAAGAAGACGATCCGATCTTAGCACCATTTGTGATAAGATATTTGACAATTTCGATATGATTTTTCTGAATAGCCTCAATGAGTGGAGTATTGTCAAAATAAGTTTTTGCTTCAACATTCGCTCCAACTGAGATAAGATACTTGACTACTTCTAGATGTCCTTCGCCAGCTGCAAAAATTAATGGTGTGTAGTTGCTTTTATTCCTTGCATCAATATTTGCACCAATTGAGCAAAGATATTTGACTATTTCAAGTTGTCCTTTAATAGATGCAGTCATGAGTGGAGTTAACGTAATTGAATTATTAAATTCTTTGTTGCAGCCGCATTCGATCAGAGATTTGACAAGTTTGAGATTTCCTTTTTCACATGCTTGATGAAGGACATTTTTTCCGGTATTAGACAAATCGGGAATTTCAGCAAGTCCTTCTTCGCATGCTTCTTTAATCATATCTTGCTTTCCTTGTTCCAGGAGTTCTTCTAGAAATTTGTAAATTTTATTGTTATTTTTAGTGCTTCTAAATATTTTAATTTTTGTTAAATCATAAATTGGTGTTAGAGATACATGTGGCTGAATTGAATTAAATGTTGGAATAGCTCCACTTGATTTATTTAATTTAAAAGATTGTCCAATATTTGAAGTATTTCGTGTTTTAAGATATGTGATGGTGCTATTTGAACTCAAAAAAGTAATAAGACTATCAATAAATTTAAGATTTAAAATATTTCGTAATGATTTGAGTATTGAGATAGCTTCTTGGTTATTATTCATAGAAACATTCACCTTTAATGCAATTATAGCTAGTTGTTCTGTAGGTGTTTCATTTTGCGATTGTTCAAGAAAAGAAATGTAGTCATCTGCTGTAAATGTAACGTAATCAAAGATTTTTTCGATTTCATCCATCTCAAAAAGACTAAATAACTTATTATCGATTAAATAATCCTTTACATGAGCTCCCATATACTCGTAATTTTGATAAAGTTCGTTTTCCATTATTTAAGGGTGCACCCGTATGTGCGTTTATTTGAGAGGAGGAGGATTACCCTCTCAATTTTGAGGGATTCGTTAGTTTATTTTCTCGATGAATATGCAATAAAATTTGATTTTTACCTTATCAATATACTTCATATAATATACACATGTTCATGTAAAAACTTTTTTCCAAAATCCTCAGGAATTAAGGGATTTTTGAATTTTAAGAATTTTTTTCGAATTTTTTCGAAAAAAAATATTTTCAGAACAGCCTTAACGGCTAAGATTTAGGAACAATGTTAAGTATCAAAAAGAAAGGAGGTCTGATATAGACAACATATATGAAGGTTGAAAAAATCTCTAATATTTGAGCCCAAAATTTCAAATTTTGATTTTTTGAAAAAAAGAGGCCACCCGTATGTACGTTTATTTGAGAGGAGGAGGATTATATTTTTGAAAGGGTGAAACATTATGAATATGTTAATTATATAATAATATGTATTATTATAAAAAAGAAAAAATAAAGCACGTTAAAATTTTTCTTTCTTGATTTTTTACAAAATCTACTTAGAATTATGCAAAATATGACTAAATAATTATAAATTTCAAGTTAAATTTTAATTTTGATAAATAATTTAAATTTCAAAATATCAAGTTCAGTTCGACTATGTATGTAGTAATTCCTCAATAAAGTGCCAAAACCCTATTAAAATATATGAACATTTTCAACATTTTAATGTTTTTATTTAAAAATTTGTTGGAATATGAGCTTCAAACAATTATTATGTAAATAAAAATAATTAAATATATGTATTTATTCGTATTACAACCGTAGTAAGTCGATTCTTCCTTTCTTCTACTGAGATTTGAATTTGATTTCGAATTGTAAAGAGATTCAAAGGGAAAATACTAGCGGATAAAATCTACCTCCATGAAAGGGTCATAATGGAGTCAAGTTGTATTTTTTGATATTTTTTGCTTTTCGAGCCTAAATAGGTAGCCAAGATAATGCCTAAAAATAAGGTTCTAAATTCTGAAGTTTGCATGATCCTCTCGTGTGCACCCTTAACGATAAAAAAAACTGAACATTAAGGGTGCACTTATGCTCCTATGACATGGCCTTCAATTCATATGTTTATTATATATATGAATTTATTAGACGCTTCACGCCAGTTGTCAAAATTAGAATTAAAGTCAGGTGCTCGTAAGTGCAGCCTTATTGATAAATTTAAAATGCGAATTAAAAGGCATACCTTCACTGAAAGTGAGAGAAAATTATCAAATATGAGAGCTCATATAAGTTACACATGCAATATGTAGTCTAGTTGCTTCTATTTTTGCTTAAATTTCTGATTTGAAGTCATAATTAAAGTTTGAATTTAAACGTGAAAAAATCACATTTTCCTACGAAAAGTTACCCTATCATTTTTCTACTTCATTATTGAGTGATACACTAACAAAAATTTGAATATGAAACTTTCCGTATGAAAATGAGCTTATCTATTTTTAATGTATGCAAAGATTTAATAATATATTTAAAGTTGTAAGTGCATATTAATTGACTTTAGCACTATTGTCTGATTTATATTCTCAAGATATTTAAGGCTGCACTTACGCCCATCTGACATTAATTCGAATTTTTGACAACTGGCGTGAAGCGACATTGAAAATCAACCTTAAATATCTGAATTGAAGGCCCTGTCATAGGGGCGTAAGTAATAAAAATTAATAATAATAATAAAAAAAAAACTAAAACAACTATTTAAGTAATTCAATGACATCTTTGTTCTTTGCAATGTCAATTGGTTTCTTTCCACTGTTATTTTCGATATCTTTGCTGCACCCTGACTTCAAAAGAATTTCGACAATTTTAGAAAATCCAATCTTTGATGCAATGAAAAGAGCAGTTTCTCCTTCTTTGTTTTTCTTGTCCAAGTAATAATATGGATTTGCCGTGAAAGAAGGCGAATTAAGAATTGCTTCAACACATTTAACATTTCCGATTTCAGATGCAAGCATAAGAGGAGTTTTTCCATTGATAGAAAAATTCGGATCTAAAACAGGAGAAAAAGAAATAGAAGAAACAAGGAAACTGTTTCGTGATTCAATGGCCGACATAATTGGAACATTTCCATCTTCCGAAATCGCGCAAGGAAGAACTTCAAGGAACGAAAGAAGCTGTTTAACCATTCCGACATCTCCATTGGTAACAGCAATCTGAAGAGGCATCAAACCACGTGGTCCGAATGCTGTTGGAGAAACTCCGAAATGATAAATCAATCCGATGACAGAATTGATGTGTCCTGATGTAACAGAGTTGATATATTCTGTCTCTAGGTTGTCGCCAGCAAGAACTGAGATCTGTGCTGAGAATCTGTTGAAGATTTCAATGTTTCCACATGAAATTGACGTTTTTAACGTTTCTAAAGTTTGAATCTTCTTGATTCCAAGCGACAAAGTGATCTTTTCATAGAGAAGAGTGTTATGGAACTCTATTGCCGTCTTTAAGGACCCGTTTTGGATGATTTTCAGTGGAATTATTTGTTCAATAATTTCGGAACTTCCGCCTCTGATCGCGTAATCGGAATAATTACGTACTCCTGTGGCACTCAACATTGGTTTGAGCGTTAAAATGTATTTGGTACTCTCGATACAATTGTAATAAAGTGAATATGCCAAAGGTGTCACTTTTTGTGAAAAACCACGAATTCTGTCGAAAATGGAGATATTTATGAAGGAATCGATGTTTTCGTGGTTCAGAACTTGATCGGACTCGAGTTTTCCGTTGATTATTGAGGCCATAATGGTGTTTGGTGCGTATCCGAACTTTAATAAGGATTTTAATTGCGACCAATTATCGGCTTTCATTACGTTGAGGATGGAAAGGAATTCTTTGATCGCGCCTTCGCCGTGGCCGCTGCCGAAGTAAACTTTGAAGGCAGAAATGCAGTCGTCAAAGAATTTTTTGTTGATTTGCTCGATTTCTGGGGCAAAGAACATTACAGAGTAGAAGCTTGATATCCATGAATACCTTATATCAAGATTCTCGACGTAACTTACAATTTCTTTTGGATCTATCGCTTCATTTTCCAAAAGTGCACGTAAGAAGTGCAATCTGTGCAGAATACTGCTGTTGTATGTCGATAGGTCTTTGGGATACATGAATCCGTACTCTATTAGCGATTTTACAATATGAGAATTATCATTTGTTTTTCTCTTGAGAATTTCGGTCATTAACTTCAATATTGAGTCATACCTTGAATGATCAAACTCGATTATGTGGTAAATTTCATGAACAAATGCTGATTCGAGTCCGAAAAATTTACAAAACGGAGATCCGTATAAAAGTTGCGTAATCTGAGGAATTGGAGTAGTATTTACGACCTTAAGTAGTTCTTGGAGCTTCTGGTTGAGAATTAAACAGTTTACATTGAGAGATTTGTTGTCTGAAATATCTAAAATTCCTCCGAAGCAAAAAGTGCCATCGTTTACAACGTAAACCGATAATTTACGGAAAACTTTGATAATTTGTTGCTCAGGAGACATACAAATTCTGATATTTTTATTATCTTCAGAAGTTTTAGGCATTTTCACGCAACTACAGATGTTTAGAGTGATGATGCCTCTGTAGCCTTTGTTTACGCATATAGGAAGTATGTATTTCGAAACGTTTTCTTTTTTCGGAAAAATTGTCGCGACATTCGTGAATCCTGTTGGTCCGTAATGAGTTGCTTTGATGTCCAGCTCGAACCCTGTCTCTTCTATAGTTCCGTAGCCTGGAAGAGCCAAGACAACTCCTTTTTCTATGTCATATGAATAAAAACGAAGATTTACTGATTGATTTTGTGAAATTGGTGGAGAATATGAAAGGTATGTAACATAAGACTGGTCAGTCTCCGATTTCTTTTCTTCTGTTATTGCGTTGTTGTCGAATTTGATTGTTATTGTAATTTTCGAAACACGATTTGCATTTTTTGTAATAAGAGGATATTCAATTGATTGTCCGAACTTAGACGGATCTATTTCTATTTCAGCATATCCTAAAAAGTCGTTAGAAGACAAAGTATCGTGATCCCAAACATCAACTCTTAATTTTGAGATCCTAGCGAAGGATATATGAAATGGAATTTGGCAGTTCTCATCCCATACAGGATTTAAGTTTCTTTCTATGATTTTTGTTTCTCCAAACTGATAAAAATAACTACCAACAACGCCATAAAGCATGCAAAACGGATCTGAATAACCATTTGAATCTGCTACTGGGAGCCCAGTTGCTTTCTGAACATAGGCTGTCAGCATTTTATTTTTATGTTGTCACTTTTTTAATTGTCACATTTCTATCAATTCAAACTGATAATACTTTTACTTGTCACTTTTCTGTCACTTTTCAGGTAAAAACATTTTTATTATTATATATAAATGAATTTTACAAAACCACCGTTACCGTTCTTTGGAAATAAGAGTAGATGTAAAGATATTATATTGAGAGAACTTAAGAAACTACCGAATGGTCTAACATTTGTAGATTTGTTCGGTGGAAGTTTCTATATATCCCATTTATGTCATACAGTATTCCCAGACTCAAAGATTATATGCAATGACTTCGACAACTATATGGACCGTCTCAAACATATTCCAGACACAAACAATATATTGAAAGAGTTAAAAGAAAAGATACCTATAGGCAAGATGGAACGTATACCATTAGATAAGAAAAATATTGTGAGAGAGGTTTTGAAAAAAGCAGAATATATAGACTGGGATAGTATATCTGCTAGACTATTATATAGTGGTTCTATAAGAGTTCATGACATTGAAACACTTATGTCAAAAGTTTTATATCTTAACTATACAAATGTTTTCAAAGAGGACATAGAAAAATATATTGAGGGTATAGAGTTTGTGAGATGTCATTGGACAGAGTTGTATGAAAAATATAAAGACAAGGAAAATATTTTCTTTATAGTGGACCCGCCGTTCTATAACACATGGGATTTTCAATACCAAGTAGACTGGACTTTGAGAGACTCTTTAGAAACTTTAGACGTTATACATAACCATCCATGCTTTTACTTTACATCCGATAAAAGTGGTTTGGAAACCGTTATGAGATGGTTAGAGGACATACATGACTATGTGTTTAAATATGACAAGATAGAATATGAGAGAGGTCCTATAAACCGGAGAAAGTGTCACAATAAAGAAATTTTATTAGTAAGTAAATGTGGTTTGAAATAGGACTACTTGTTTTAGGTTTTTTCCATTGTGTCATTTATTTATTTGACGTGGCAGAAAAGTACAGAGAATATGAAGATGAACCAATGCCTGCAAATGTTCAGTATATGTACTCGTAAGAGATATTTTTATCTAATATTAAATGGACGCACAGAACTTAGCGAATGCACAGCAACCTGGACAACCAAACCCAGAGAATATTCCAAATGAAGTTAGAATACAAACTGCAATGGCAAACTATGGTCAAGTGCCAACAGATGTACAAATGCAAACTGCCATGTCAAATGACGCTGCGTTAGGTTTGCCACCATGGTATGCAAATATGAGATGGAAAGAGTTTTATACAAACCCCGAAGTGGGATATAAACAACTTTATGCAGATGACGCGAACACAGGAGTTGACCCAGAATATGTTTTCTACCAGAGGAGAAACAGAATGTATGAGCTCCAGTTAAAGAATGCTATGGAACTCAACAGGAAACGTAAGAGACTAGGCGGACATTAGATTTTTACATATAGTAAAATGGGTTTCTTCAGTAGTATTGGAAACTTCTTCAGAAGAGTTGGAAGAGGTATATGGAATGGAATAAAATCTGTCGGAAGAGGAATTTGGAACGGTGTCAAAAATATTGGTAAAAGAGTAGGTCAGTTCGTTGGTATTATACCTAAAGACCCTGAACCAGAAGAGCAAGCTCCTGTTATACAACAGCCTGAACCTGCACCACAGTCAAGTTGGCAACCAAATCCAACACCTCAACCGTATTAAAAAATTATATTTTTATCGTTCGATAGTAGTTGTATATGAAACTAAGTTCTAAGTAAAACGCATGGTATAATGGAATTATTCTTTTTCTTCCATCTGTTGTAAACCATACTTGAAAGTCTGAAATACTTCCACTCGGCGGTTCATATAACTTTGTAGGTTTTTCGTAAAAGTCATTCGTCAGGCATAAGAAAGAGTTTTGTGCACCAGAAAATGAAGCATGAACAATAATAGCATCTGGGTCGAAAACATTTTCATATGTTCCATTAGGGTTTTCGACTTCATAATAGTCCGGGTGTACTGGATATGCTGCAGGCTGATTTAACATCCTCATAAATCTATACCATGCCAAGTTGTTATATTTTGTAGAAATATAAACGTTTTCTCCAAGGTCTTCTATTTTATTGATTTTAACAGTTGCGTTTTTCCTGTCATAAATAATATCGAGATGGTATTCTCCTTCGTCAATGTTATACTGGTTTGCATATTCGATATAGATATCGTTTATTTTTTCTTGAAAAGCTTGAAGAGTTGTTTCTAAGTTTACAAGCAAACTAACTTGTAAAAGTTTTCCCTGTTCAAATTTCTCATACATACGTTTTTCTTTGTTATAGTATCGAACTTCAAAACCGACCGTAAATGGGAAACCATGTATGGCTTCTGAAATGAACTTCATTCTACGAAAGCCAATAGCTTTGTGACGGATGGGTCTCTTAACCATCTTAATGGGTAGTCAAAACGATAGCCTTCATGCTTTACGGTCTCTGTCTCAAACTTTTGACCTACATTAGTAAAAAGTTCATCTAATGGTTTAGTTGTAGCAACTCTTGAATTTTCTTTTTCTATTGGAAGCATATTTTATCTATAATAAAAATGTCAAATGAAACAGCGTCTATGAGAGAAATACAACACAACCGACAACTCATTATGCAAGCTCTAAATAAGAACACAACAAACTTTTCAAACTATTCTAAGATATCTGAGTCATTGAAAGAAGGAAACTTAAAACTGACATTAAACCCAATGACAGATGAGTTTCTGTTTCAAGACAATAAGAACCATACTGTCTGTATAAATCCAACAAAAGGAACTTTAAACGAGAAACCTATAAATGAACTTCTTTTGAAAGCAGATGTTGACAACAAAGCTGACAAAGAATATGTAGACGATGCAATAGCAAAAGAAGAAGAAAGACTAACAATGCTTATGCAACAAAAGAACATACTCATCCTGAACTAGCAGACAAAACATATGTTGACAATAAAATGTCAAGTGAAGTGACAAGAGCTGAAAACGAATATTCTAAAAAGACTCATATACATTATATTAACCAAATACCAAGTCTTAAGGAAACATTAGAGACAAAAGCAGATAAGACTCATACACATACCATTGCAATATTACAAACTTACAAGAAACCTTAAACAGGAAAAGTGACGTTGGACATACACATACCATTGCAAATATTACAAACTTACAAGAAACCTTAAACAGGAAAAGTGACGTTGGACATACACATACCATTGCAAATATTACAAACTTACAAGAAACCTTAAACAGGAAAAGTGACGTTGGACATACACATACCATTGCAAATATTACAAACTTACAAGAAACCTTAAACAGGAAAAGTGACGTTGGACATACACATACCATTGCAAATATTACAAACTTACAAGAAACCTTAAACACTAAAGCAGATAAAACATATGTCAATGAAATATACCAAAGTTTAGTTGGAACAAAAAATATTGAAACTATTGTTGGTGACTTTTCTTTCAATGAAGAAAATAAATATTTTAGATGGCAGTTTGCACATTCCTTAAAAAATGGTACACGGCATAAACTCATTCCGAAAAATAACAATGAAATGTATGTAAGCTATATAAAGAATAATGGTACACAAGTTAAAGTTCCATTAGACAACAACTGCTACTTAAACTTATATGGAGATGAACAAAATAAATATTTCCGAGTTTATGAAATGACAGATATGACATTGCCTGACCCAGCTCCAGCACCATATTATTATGACTATGGTGCTGACGACAAAACACCACATGTAGACCCAAAAAAGCAAACATTATATTTAGAATATTATAGATATAAAAGATATAATGCAATAGAAAAAACGAGAATAGTATATTATTATGAAGATGACAGAAATAAATATTATAGTCAAGACTTTACCTACCCTGAAAACATAAGATTATATTATAAAAAATATTCTGACACAAACCAGAAGAAACCTGAAATAGTTGCACTATATTTTAAGTTCAAAAGAGACAATCCTATAATATCTCATATGTTTGATTTAATGAACCCAGTAGGTTCTATTTATACATCTATGGAAGCAAGAGGTCCTCAAGTAATGTTTGGTGTTGGTGCATGGGAACAAATAGTCGACAGGTTTTTGTATTGTGCAAACTCTTCAAAGGAAACAGGTGGAAGTAAAACGATTTCAGGTGAAAAATTTACCTGCACACAGTCACTACATAGATTTAAGTACATCTCAAGCAGGTTGGCATAAGCATAGATATTGGGATTGGTCAGGAATGACAAAAGGTAAAGGATATGATGTTAAAGACAACGTTCAGTTTGCTATAAATTGTTACTGGAGTAACACTGAGGGAGGAGGAAACCATACACATCACGTTTCAGGATATACGCAAACAACCGGACAAAGTAAAGAATACATGCCACCTTACATGACAGTTTACGCATGGTATAGAATTGCTTAGTCGTCATTTTCAACTTCTTTAGCATATTCGTCAGGAGTTGTCTTATATTTGTTAGGAACTGTCTTTGAAAGTATACCACCTTGAACTTTGACAAGTTTGAAACGAGGTCTGGCAATAGTAGTTTTATCTTCTGCTTGCAGTGTGTACATTTTGCCATGTTTGCCTAAAACTTCATAATATCTCTTGTATACTTTCTTCTATTTTTACGAACACGAATGTGAGTACCTGTCGAGTTCCCATTGTTGTCATAGTCAATAGTATTTTCATATGGGTCGCGTTTAGGTATTTCTATTTTTACTTTGTCACCTTTCTGAAGTTTGAAGCCCGGCATTCTTTCTTGTTTGTCTCTTTTGACTAAATTATTAAATATATAGTCTTTCTCTAAGTCGGGGTTGTTTTTCATTTCTTCAGGGGATGGTTTCCCAAACCTTTTTGTTTACGGCTATTGTAAATATTTAAAACTTGTCTCATCTTTGCCATGGAGAAGTGTCTATATTTGTCGTCATATGACATTTCATTTGCTTCACCACCTTGTGGTTGGTTTAAGTCTTTAACATTTT